AGAGCACCGGCACCAGAGACTTCCACTGTGTGTACCTCTCGTCGACGCTCGTCTCCCCTGTTTTCGCTCTATCTTTCATCTTCAACCTCTCTCTCTCTCTCTCTCTCTCTCTCTCTCTCAAAAAAAAACCCCAAGTCAGAGCTCCCAAATCCAGACCTCTGGCAACTCCGATCGAGCTCGACCAACTCCGCCTCCCTCCCAACGTCGGACCCCGAGTTCCCTCCCTCCCTTCCTCCTCTGTCAACGTCACCCCTCCCCCCAAATCAACAGCAGCCCCAAAATCGGAGCTCCCCCAAAATCGTCGACGGCATTTTTGCAATTGTCCCGAACCCTCAAAAAAAGCCCCAAATCAAGCCTAATTTCTACCGCCGACGAACGTCCAACCTGCGATCGCCGCCCGAAGCTCGCCGAAGCTCGCCACCATCGACATCCCCTCGCCCCCACTCAGCATCGCCGCCGGATCATCACCTCGACCTCCTCCTTTCCACCGCTCGAAATCGCCGACTTCGGAGCTCGCCAAGGTGTCTAGATATATAATCCATTTCATTTTCCTTAAACTCTTTTCCATATGATGCATTTAGTATATATGTGTCCTTTTCAAATTTTGGGCCATATTCTTCATTTAGTATATATGTGTCCTTTTCAATTTTTTTACTTATTTCAAAAAAAAATTCTATAGAAAGTATGATGACATTTACTGTCAAAATATCTGAAGTGCTTGAAGTCATACACCCATTTCATCTACTTTCAGAGGTCTTCATCTCAAGTAAATCAGCTGGGTATTTTCTTCCCAACGTAAGTTCTTGTTTTGTTAACTTTTGTAAAATAAACACACATATTCATCAATTAGTGGGCTAATTGTGCATGCATAAACATACATAGGCATGTTTATGTACATATGTTGCTATCTTTTATTGACTACCCGAAGTTAACTATCTGGATATATATTCTAAGAAAACCCAAGGACTGATTTATCTTCTCAAAGGAATTTCATATTTCCATGGCCCTGCACTGATCTAGGCGTGAAATCAAAGTTGCAACATTAACTAATGAACCATCTTAGCAATCTTTATGCTTCCTGTTAAATGGAAAGCTTCTAAGTCAACATTGCAAGCAAATTATTCTGCGGTTTATAGACATTGAAGCAATCAGTGTATCGTAACTGCTGTAGTCATTTCATTTCAATGGTTTTTCACAGGTAGTTAAAGACGTCGCATTGACAATATCCCAAGCTATAGAGCCTGTAGAGAAAGGTGTCACAAAGATACAAGAGAGCCTTCATCTATCTATGGGATCAGACAAGGAGGACGAAGGACGTAAGGTTAAGGTCGAAGAGCAGGTCACAGAGAAAGCGGAAGATGGCAAGGTTGAAGTAATTAGTTCGGAGAAGGTAATTGCTGAATCCAGTGATTAAAGCTGGAAGTTCTAGGATAGAATGGAAGTATCAGCAAAGGTTTGTTTTGAGAGTCAGAATGTTCGAAGAGACAGTACAGCAGGAAATCTCATGTTTTTAGCTTACTTTGTTTAGGCTTGTGGGTACAGTTTGTGATAGTGATTTTATTTCTTCAGGATCTTGATTGTTTGAGTGGTGTTGATTGCAACGGATGGAGAAGGATTTAGTTGTTGCGTTGTTTTGCTTGTAAGGTGGGTTGATTGCCCCATATATATATGTAATGTGTGTCGAAGTCTTTTTTTTGTAAACTATTATGTACTCCATTGATTGTACTTGAACGTGAACATTTTTTTGTATAACTGAAGTGGGTTGTAAGGCATTTGGGAATTCAATGATGTTTCGAAGCTGATGTTTGTTTGATTCAGATTTTATTCAGGTTTTGATTGTACTTGAACGTGAACATTTTTTTGTAGAACGTGAACATTTTTTTGTAAACTGACCTTGAACATGAACCTGTATGGCCTTGAACATGAACGTGAACATTTTTTTGATTATGCTATTGGTTTGTTCGAGGTTGTTACATTACCTGTATGGCTTGACCTTGAACATGAACTGGCCTTTATTCCAATGTATGATGAGAGCAGATAGATAGCTTTGGGGCTATTGGTTTGTTCGAGGTTGTGAGGATGTGTACTAAATGCAAATGAGGGGTTCACATTATAAGCAGTAAAGATGTGTCTCAAGTAGTTTCTCGGGCTGTATAAAAGAAACTTAGTTGCTATATTTATTAAAGTAAAATTATATAACATTAATGGATATACACATCAACAACAAATTGAAAGAGACTGCAACTCTCAAACTCACATATAATGAAATCTGTTGCAAAACAATGCAAGCAAAACAATGCAAGCAAAACAACACAATTAGATAAAATGTTTCGGTTACAACATTTGGTCCTGCAAAACAACACAAGCAAAACAACACGGCCATGAACAATGTGCGAGATATACATAACTACTTGCTTCATGTCTTTAATTCACAAAGAAGAAACATACACTAAGTTCAGCCATAAGATCACCCATGAAGCAAGTCATGAGGATACAGATCAATATGTTCTTTCAGGCTAGCCATGCTCAATGAATTTGATATGAGCGCACATTGAATAGTCCCTTCAGCATCAATTGAGGCTTTGGGCTTGGAGTAACCAAGCTCAATTTCTGAAAACAAACAGCCATTACAGCAACAAAGAAAGCTATGAGAAACTCAAGTTTTCGAACCTGCAATAAGATAGTACCAAAAAATCATTTACGGTATACAGGATCAACAGAAATAGGCATACATTATATTTTAAGTTTACAATTAATCATTAGTAATATAAGATTGGATAACGGGTCGGTTTCAAAATTTCTTTCATGGGAAATGCTTCGCTAATTTCATATTATTTTATTTTTTTAAGGATGATGACAGATAAAATTTCCCCCACTCATCGTGCATTCTATATGCAGTTTTACACAAGATTATGATAATAATTTAGCATTATGGGGATGATGCAAGATCTCAAGCCTCACAGTTTCGCATAACAAATGCTGTGTACAGAGTAATTTATCAGATGCACACTTTGTTGGTAAAAAGACTAGTCAGTTCCTGTTCAGTCCTTAAGATTTCATTTCTTTGATTTATTATCTACTTACAGGTAGCTGGAACTTGAAGTTAAGCATGTTAAAATAAAGCATGAGAAGTGGAGGTGGAAAGGAGGAGGTCGAGGCGATGCGAGCGGAGACCTGAGCTCGACGGCGAGTCTGAGCGGGGGCGGCGAGCTCCGAAGTCGGCGAGGCGATGCGAGCGGAGACCTGAGCTCGACGGCGAGTCTGAGCGGGGGCGGCGAGCTCCGAAGTCGGCGATTTCGAGCGGTGGAAAGGAGGAGGTCGAGGTGATGATCCGGCGGCGATGCTGAGTGGGGGCAAGGGGATGTCGATGGTGGCGAGCTTCGGCGAGCTTCGGGCGGTGATCGGAGGTTGGACGTTCGTCGGCGGTAGAAATTAGGCTTGATTTGGGGCTTTTTTGAGGGTTCAGGACAATTGCAAAAATGCCGTCGACGATTTTGGGGGAGCTCCGATTTTGGGGCTGTTGTTGATTTGGGTGTGGGGGGGGGGGGGGCAGAGGAGGAAG